CCACTGTGACTTTGCCAAATACCCTGGAGCCGGCTGTCTGTGACGGTTCCTCACACACTGCTGGTGGGCCCTGGTGCGCTTCCCAGAGGCCTTTTCAGAACGGGGCGCGAGGCCTGGGTCTTTGGTTTCTCCATCAGGAGATGTGTTCAACTCAGAGCTGCCGCGTCGCCATCGCTTTCCCTGTGCCAGGTGCAGGCTAGGCACTGGCATTTTTCTCAGGGGCCCGCCTTGAAATCAGTAGCCCCCATTTTGCTGGTGAAGAGACCCAGGCTCAGAGAGGCCTAATAATTATTTTTTAAAATAATAAACTTTAGAGAGAGGAAGCGAGGGGGAAACATAGATGAGAAACATCGATCGGCTGCCTCCTGCACGCCCCCTACTGGGGATCGAGCCCACAACCCGGGCGTGTGCCCTGACCGGGACTTGAACTGGCGACCTCTGGGCGCATGGGTCCATGCTCAACCACTGAGCCACACCAGCCAGGCAGAGGGGTAAAATTACCTGCCCGACATCAGGCCTCCGGGAAGGAGCTGCGCTGGGGGGAAACTGCTCTCCTCCCTGGTAGGCAGCCCTGGTTCGCTCCTCTGAGCTCGTGGGCGGGTGAGGGCCGTCCTTTCGTAGCTCTGCACTCGAATACTCAGCCTGGGCGGTCCTGGGAGCTCGGCGGGCCTTGCCGGGGCCTTTAAGGCAACACGCAAGCCCATCAGTCCTCCGAGGGACTCTGTTTACTGCCCCTGCAGCCAGGGGGTTAACTGCTCCATCCATTTCCAGGGAAACAGCCGTGTCTTTTCAGCTGGCCGCACACCTGCAGGTTATTTTGGCTCGGCCGTCTCACGCTGTCTGTCCAGGACCAGGTCGCCTCAGGACATCTGGCATCAAGTAACAGAAACCCACTCCAACGTGCCTGGCAAAGATGGGACTGAAGGCAGCGTAGGGCATCTTACAGGGGTGCGGCCAGGCTGCGGAGGGCCCAGACCAGGGGATGCAAAGCAGCTGGTATCTCTTTCCGCCTGGGGCTGCCTCCTCCGCGACCCTCTGCTTTGTCTGCCTCTTCGCACAGGCCGGCTTTGTCTGGGCACACGGCTCCCCTGTGGCGTTCAAGTTTACTATACCCAGCTCAAGTAGCCAGTCCAAAATGACCTTGGTCACTGTCACCCAAGGCCGCTGGGCCCTCTTTGGGAAACACTGCCCAAGCAAGAGCCCTTCTCATGGAGAGCAAAACTTCAGCCTCCCTGCTGCACCCACAGAGGCTAGAGCAGCGCCCGGCATGTAACAGGAGCTCAGTACCTATTCGCGGATGGATCCGGCTGGCTCGGCGGCACACGGGCCAGCTTAGTGCTCCACATAGCCAGGCTCCAGTCTGTTGCCTTAATCCGCTGCTTGCAGCTCCCCTTCATTAGAACGGTAGCCAGTCTGAGGAAAGTGGAAATCGAGAGCAGGTGGAGTATCCACTATGGGCCCAGCACTGCCAAGGATGCAAAGGACTTGGGCTAAATATAGGAGCAGAGCTAAAAAGGGGAATTTTCTGNCGAGAGCAGGTGGAGTATCCACTATGGGCCCAGCACTGCCAAGGATGCAAAGGACTTGGGCTAAATATAGGAGCAGAGCTAAAAAGGGGTTTTGCTAGGAAGACACAGCCTCTCTTATGGAACCAAGGGCAGGCGCAGCTGGGATTCCCAAGGGACAGGACCAAGGGCCAGAGAGTCCCCAGCAGACAGCAGCCATCTCTGAGGTCTGGCTGTCCCTGGCGGCCCCTTTTTAGCAGTTAGCTTCATTCTCTCTCTGCAGGGCGGCATCCCCTGCTTCACTCACCTGTGGCCCATCACAGTGGTCCCCAAACAGCCCCCTAGCCCCTGAGGCCACATTACCCGGTGGCCTCTCTGTTCTCCCAGGACCAATTCCTGGGACAGGTGGTCCTAGCCCAGCTCAGCTTCTGACTGGTTCTCCTGGGTCAGGTGGACACATACTTCAGGTCCAGTCGGCTGTGACCTGAGAAGATGTAGGTCACATGGCACCACGGGGATGCTGAGACTCCTCCTGTTGGGGGATGGGAACTCCAGGTGGGAACTTGCTCTTTCAGGGCCCTGGGGCCACTTAGGGCTGGAGAAGAGCTGGGTGGCTTAACTTAATATTGCCGGTAACTTCCTCGCCTCTCTGGCCACGATTCCGGACTGCAGGCTGTGGCTAAGCTTCTCTCTGTCGTGGTTTTGGACAGAGGTGAACCCATGCTTTCTGTTTTATATGCTAACTACCCGCGGTATATTCCGAGTAATGTGAATAATTTTCTACTCGGTCACTTCCTCACACGCCGAACAAGTAGGGTCCTCTGTGCTGTTTCTGCAGCATCCCTGCCTGTAGGAAGGGCTGGGGAATGTTCAGGCCGAAGGGGGCTGGTCTCTAAGACTGAAGGTTGAACCCTGTGTTGGTTTCCTAAGGCCACTGTCACAAATTCCCACGAACTTGGTGGGTGGCCTAAAACAACAAACTTATTCTCACGGCTCTGGAGGCCAGAAGCCCACAATTAGCACCAACTGGGCCACAATCAAGGTTTTCATTGGGGCTGAGCTCCCTAAAGAAGAACCGTCCCAGCCTCTTCCAGCCCTGGTGGCCCCCGGCGTTCCTTGGCTTGTGGCTGCATCACTCCAGTCTCTGCCTCCACGGCCCTGTGGCCTCCTCTCCTGGGTATGTGATCTCCCCATCTCTCACTTACAAGTACATTTGTGGATCACATGCACGGCCCACCTGGATAATCGAGGACCTCTTCATCTCCAAATCCTTAACCCAATCACATCTGCAAAACCTTTACCACACAGAGTAACACTCTCAGGTTCCTGATATCTTTGGGGGTCCACCATTCAGCCCACTACCAGCCTCAAAGCCCTTTCTCCCCTCAAGGAGAATCTAGGCTGGGCAGACACCCTGAAAGATGTCTACCAGAGGCCAGGCTGAGAGAGTCCTTTTAAAAGGTTGTTTCTCAGCTCATTGGGAACCTTGCTAGTGCCCTTTCCTTTTTCCTCCCATCGGGAGAAAGCAGAGAGAGGAACTGAAGAGCAGGTCCAGCCCAGAGAGCCACGGGCTGGCTCAGTCAGGGGCCGGGACCAGAGCGGCCTCCGGGTGGCCCAGGCCAGCAGGGAGATCCCTGCAGCTCCCTTCTTTATAGATGACCCGCGTCAGGAAAGTGAAAGGTTGGAACGTTGGGACCTGCTGTCAATCCCCAGATAAGAAGGTGACTCTTGTCCTAATTGCTGTCCCTTCCCTCCCAGGGGAACTTTTAGGAAACATCCAAAGTCTGAGGATTTACTCTTCCCAAAGNTAAGAAGGTGACTCTTGTCCTAATTGCTGTCCCTTCCCTCCCAGGGGAACTTTTAGGAAACATCCAAAGTCTGAGGATGTATAGCCCAGTCAGGTAACCTTGATGTATCAGTTTTCCCATCCATAAAATGGGTATAATAGCACCTAACTCATGGTGTTGTTAGGGAGATGAAACTGGTTCATATGTGTTGAAGTACTTAGAACACCGCCCGGCTCATAGCAAACAGATGAAGTGTCAGCTTTTATTACTTCTGGGACCCAACCAAGCTCCCAGCCACACGGACTCCCAACAGGCCCGTTCCATGCTTGCCAGTACTAGGAAGGCCCCTCTGGACTCAGGCCTGTCCTCCCAGACCCCCACTCCACGGTCAAGACCCTGACTCCAGACATCCTGTTCCGCTCAGCGGTCTGCTACCCTCGGGGCATCTCTCATTAGCTGAGCTGCGTTCCTGGGCTCCACGGATAATCACTCTGTCCCCTCCCCGAGGACACGCTCGCCCACCCTCCACGATCACACAGCCCGTCGGTTCTGGGGGCCGACAGGTGGTGCAGGGCTCCCTCCTGGGCCAGTTCTCAGGGAGAGAGATGTAGGAAGAATGTTCAGACAGGCAGAGAGCTGCTAAGCACCAGAGCTTTCTGTTGGGCCTGTGGGTTGATGGGGCAGCCTCAGCTCTTGGGTAACACAAGTCTTCATTCAAAGTCTGCAAGAGCCCTTTGCATTGAGTTGGGCAGCACAGTGTTTAGAACTCAGGCCCTGGAGCCAGACCGCCTGGCTTCCAATCCCAGCCCTGCCACTCGCTGGCAGTGTAGCAGGGGCCCTGTAATTAACCTGAGCCTCTACGACTAACCTATGAAATGGGTACAGGTGAAATGGGACAATGTACATGGAGTGCTTAGCAAGGTGCCTGGCATACATTGTTTGGTACATGTCAGCTGCTATATTTTTAAAATGTCTTTATTGATTTCAGAGAGAGGGAAAGGGAGAGAGAGAAACATCAGCGATGAGAGAGAGTCATTGATCGGCTGCCTCCTGCACGCCCCCGACTGGGGATCGAGCCCGAAACCCGGGCATGTGCCCTGACCGGGAATCAAACTGCGATCTCCCGGATCCTAGGCCGATGCTCAACCACTGAGCCACGCCCGGCTGGCAGCTGTTATTATTGATTTTGCTCCCTAAGCAGGTCAGTCCTGGAGGAGCCGCTAAAGGAATTCAGCGCCCAGATGCACTACATATAAAATGTTTTATTATAAAAAGCTCAGCTGCACGGCATTTTAGAAGGAATAGAACACCCGCCAGCTTCCCTTCCTGCCGTTACACGGGGGAGACTAGTCAAGCGTCCCGGCTAAGACTACGATCTTCAGCATCGTCAGGCCCTGGGCCCTCGGGCTCTGAGAGCGCCACCCGGGCCTCACCCATCACCACCCAGCCCTTGGTCTGGCTTCATTAACAGAAGGGCCGTGTCCTTGCTACAAAGCTGAGTCGGATTTCCCGCCCCCAGTTCAGGACCCCAGCAGAGACGACAGAGGCGCCTTTCGGAAACGGAACAGTCCACAGTCTGCACCAGTCGCCGGGAATCCTTTCCTGGCAGGGAGGCCGCTTCGTCACGGCCTAGCTGGGGAAGGGCGGTGGGGAAGATGCCTGGGCCGCCCCCCGACGGGGTCCACTGCATCCCGAGACCCGAGACCGCTTCTCTGCCCGGTGCACCTGCTCCGCGAGGTCCCGTGGACGTGCGTCACCCCAGAATCACGGGACTCCCCAACCCGCACCCCCGCCCCAAGCTGCTCAGCCTGCGTCTGTCCCCTCGCTTCTCACCAGCGGCTGGAGTGGCTTCATTGGGGTGTGTTGGTGCGGAGGGCGGGCGACAGGAGGGAGCGCCCCCCGAGAGGGCCGTCAGTCAGGGGGCCGGGCGTTGGGGGCCTTCTCCCGGACCTCCTCGTACTGGGGCGGGGGAGTCAAAGGCTCGATGGAGGGCGGAGGGGCATTCTTGTCCGGGAGGTTGATCCTGAAGTCTTTGAGGTGAAGTTTCTCGGATTTAATCCTCCGGACTTTCAGCGGCTTCACGCGTTTGGCCGACTTGGAGTTCTGCCTGTCGGGAGGGTTCCCCGGGCCGCCCTCCACCTCGGCCCTGGTCGTCGTGGGGCTGGTCTCGTCGAGCCCCGTCAAGGACTCGTAGGAGGGGAGGGAGATGCTCATCCTCGGGCTCCGGTCGGGCTCCCTGGCTTCCGAGAAGTTCGTGTTCATCACCTCCTCGTAACTGGGGACGTAGTAGCGCGAGGAGGCCTCCTCTTCTTCCTCCTGGCTGCAGGACAATAAGACACGGGGGGTTAGCAGGCGCTCGAGTCACTTAAAATCGTGCGAAGACGGACTCTAAGTCCTGGTGGCGCCGGGCCCACGGACACCAGCCTTGTAAACCACAAATGGGCCTGCGAGTCATAAAAGCCGACGCGTCACCCGTCCGCCGGGCGGGGCTCTCGGCACCTGAACACGTACGAGCCCGTTTCACCTCCCTAACACCACCACGAGTGAGGTACTATTATTTACACCCGTTTTATGGATGGGAAAACCGATACATCGAGGCTCCCTGACTCGGCCAGACCTTTGGGAGGTGAGAGGGTGGGAACTGAACGCCACGTTTTCCGTGACTGCCCTGTGTTATCTGGGGGCTCGCCCCGCCTTTGCCTTTAAGTCCCGCACTTAACAACATGCCAGGTGGGCTATTCTGATGCCCAGCGGGCCCTGTGGCCAAAGGCAACATAAACATGCATAAAAAAAATGCCAGCTTGAAGCAAAAGGGTTGTCCCCAGATAGAGAAGGAATGTCTGAATATAAAACTTATATGTATTTCAAACTGTTCTGTGATTTTTTTTATCTCCCACGAGACTGAAAGGACAGGCCAGGTGCCCAGCCTTACTCTCACTGGACTGCTGAAATAAAACCCCCCAAATCAGGGTGTTTTTTACACATTTACAGGGAGTGATGCCAACAGCGGCTGTCCAGGCCCGACGTGGGCCCACTCCTGAGACCTGGCTGTTGGTCTCGGTCTGGCTGCTGCCCCCTCAGGGCTGCATGTGAGCTCAGGGCGCGGCCTGACCATGGCTGACCGATCTTCCTTCTTTGTTCTTTGACCAGTTTCCCAAGTTTCCTAGCAGATGCATGACTGTCTTTCATTATCAGAAAATCGGTTTAATTTTTCCAAAATAAAAACAACTCCCTCCCACGGTAAAGATAAGAGAGACTTACAGGAAGAAAACGAAACCACCCCAAATCCTCCCACCCGGAGATACACTCTGTTAACCAAC